GCTTGTCGTTCCTCCCCGCCGCACAGACTTTGTGTATGAGTGAATTCTGGGGGGGCTTGTGTGGTGACATTTACGGGACATAATTCACTGAGTCATATAGTGTGTGTTGCAACCCGGACCCGTTAGTGAGGGTACCGGGGTTTGGTGTTATTCATGCTAGCTTGTCATACAGAGCAGCACATGTACCTACTTCTTGTTGATTAATGGATAATAAAGTGTGGAAGTCCATTCTGAATACACCGCCTCTGACTCCCGTTCATCGGCACTACAATAAACACATTCATTTGAAAGACTTTAATACACCAAAGTATTTCAATAAGGAAACACGAAAAACCTGGTATGAATGTTTAAATACAATTTCTCCATCTGAAAAGACAGATTTTTGAGAAGTGAAACTGCTTGAAAGCAGTTTTCTTCTGTGTTTAAACCGGCGTCCTGCAGGTGTTTTGGGTCAGCAGGTCACTAAAAAACCTGATCACATGACTGGAAAACATGACGTGCGCTGAAGGCGGGGTGATGTGTTCAGGGACATCACGTGATAAAGGTCATGCAGGGTGTGAATGTGTGTGTGCTTTACTGTACATCTGCTTTTTGTGAGGACGTTTACACAGATCTCTCTCTTCCCCTTTTTAAAGGGCTCACAATAGAATCAGGATTACCAATTTTTCCCCCAAAAAATGTGTATAAGCAGGAATAAAACCCTTTATTTTTACATGTCGTTGCATTTAGCTGATGCTTTTATAATTATTTTTTTAAGACAAGCGATCTTAAACCATTGTAATTAAATTGCCATAAAGATCAGGATTAGGTACCAAACAGGATTAAAACACTTTCTTTTTACGTGTCATAGCAATTAGCTGATGCTTTTATAATTTATTTTATAAGACAAGCAAAAATCCTGCAAGTATATCGACTTTTAACGAGCTAAAACATGGTAATTGCCACCTAAAAATAACGTGAATTATGCAGGGTGCAGTGTAGATGTTCGTGTGTATATATGGATTTATTTTTATATGTTTTGGTGGCGATAAAATTATCCAACCAAGGTTTGTGGTTGTTAACACAGTGGACAGACTTTAAAAATATGTCTTAGTCAACTTAGAATAAAGAGCAGGATGTTTGAACAGAAAGAAAATAAAAAAAAAAATAATAATAATTATCTGTATTTTTGAAGAAATTATCTGTATTTTTTAAGAATTGACAGGTTTTTTGTAGAGAAAAAATGAGTAGAGTGAACTTGTGCGAGTGCCCCTTTAAATCCTAAAGACACACACCTGCACTGATGAATTATATATATTTGAGTATAGTGTGTCCTGTTTGCTCAGTGTTGTGTGTCACTGTGTGGGAGTTTCACCTGTCGCAACAATAACAAAGGATCATCTTTACAAACACGTGCAAATACATTATTTAAATGTGCACAGATGGCATGAATGGATATCTTACAAATACAAATGTTTTGTATTGCAAAACATGTTTAAATGTGCACGTTCACACAGAGCTTTATTGTCCTGACATTAGCAGAATGTGAGCAGACGTGAAATCAGCAGGTTTCACTTCATGTCACATGTTCTGCTGCGGGAAATAACACACTCTTTCTAAAAGTGGTCATTGATCAAATCTGTAAAACTACAATGTAATGCCTTAAATCAGTGATGATAAATGTGATAATTTATTGGTCATTCAGGTAATTTGCAGTGGTGTAAAGTAACTAAGTACATTTGATCAAATACTGTACTTAAGTACCATTTAACTACTACTGTGTACTCCACTACCTTTACTGAATACCTTTAGCTACTTCACAGATGTGGATGAATGATATGAAATATAATCAAGTGTTAAATCAGACTGTAGTTCCACCTGGAGTAAATCCACAAGCTACCCTGCAGTATACAAAGTCATTCAAACTAGCTGCACCTTTACCAGCTTTGAGAACACTTTCATGATCAATCATTATAAAACATATCATATATATTATTCTGAAATGGACCAATCTGCACAATGACTACTTTTACTGTCGCTACTTTCACTATATTTTGATGATAATACTTTTCTACTTTCACTTGAGGAACATTTTGAATGCAGTACTTTTACTGTAACAGAGTATTCCTACACTCTGGTACTTCTACTTTTACTCAAGTACCAGATCTGAGTACTTCTACTTTTACTCAAGTACCAGATCTGAGTACTTCTCCCTCCTCTGGTCATTTGTTATATAAATAATACGTCCCTATTTCCATCTGTGAAGATTTGCTGTTTTTCTTTGTCTCTTCCTTTGCCGAAAAACTGCAATTACTTTCTAATGATTTGGTCTAAAAAGATCCCCTTCACAGTTTCTCAAAGTCTTAGGTCCCATGTCATGGCCATTTCTACTGATCATAATTCCATTGTTGAGGTCTACTAGAATAGATTTATATTGTGCAATTTTCCAAACTCACATTGGTTTCTCATACAGCATCTCTGTATAGTATGTGTATTCACTCTCTGTCCTAAACGGCTTGTTGGAGCTCCTGCCCCCCCCCCCTATGAGCCCAGTGGCCGTCTGCGAGACAGCGAGACACAGCGAAACCAGCCCGAACACACACACACACCCGCAGCCTGTTTTTTTTTTTTTTAACTCGCTACAGGGTGTACTTTGAGGGTTTGTGACTCTGCAGACCGTTTACATGCAGAAAAACCTTCATAACACACAATGGGACGGTATTAACCGGAAAAGCATGACATGGGACCTTTAATGTATGTATTTAAATAATTGTCTTTTTTTGGTCCAAAACCTGAAAGTATTCCCTTTATTTTTATATAAAACCGAGAAAAAACAAGGAAATCTTCATAATTGAGACATTTCTGCATTTAAAAACTACTTTAATGATTAGTCGATAATCAAATTAGATGTCCAGTTGTTTTCTTCTGATCGACTTATTGATTCCTCAATCCGTTATAAAGCTAAAATTAACATTTGAAATGGCAAAAATATTCAGATTCATCAATAACACAAAACAATTGTATATACTGAATGTGTGCATCTCTCTTCATCAGTCACTCATGCAGACACTCATTTGATTGGTCCTTTATTAAATAAACAATAAAGCACATTAATGCAGTGATCATCATCATCATCCTCATGAAAACACATTCAAGTACTGGAGATTAAAATCGGCAAAACCTAAATCACATTTTTCTACGTTTTCACTCTGGAATTAAACTTTATTTGTTTACGCTGACAGACGAGTCATAACGGGTTGTTTGTCCAAGTGTCTGATAACGTCTCGTGGGAGAAATATCGTTACCTGTGGCCCCAAAGCAGAGGAAATATACCGTGATTTACTTTAGAGCGAGTTAATGATGTACCTTCATGTTTTATTTGTATATTATGCTCACTTTCATCTAGTTCACGTGAGCATAGCTAAAGGTAGTTCTGGTGTTGAAAGCTGCAACGTGAAGGTTTGTATTCTCCTAACGTTAGGAAACAGTGTCATTGAATGCAGCACAGTTTGAATTAGCACTAGACTCCTGTTAGCTTACAATTAATCTTGAGATCTAATACATATGTAGAGGCAATGAGAAGTGCAGCAAACAGCAGCAGCAGAAAAACACCTGTTATCAGATTATTACAGAAATCTAATCACTCAATCGTCTCAATTTGCTTTCTTTTGTTTTGAGTGCATTCAAATCCAAAGTTTGGCAAAAGTCAGTGAACTTGAGTACCTGAAGAAGCTCTCATAACGGTCAAAAACGTAAATGTTGAACGCTGGACACTTCTAACACTCAACGGCCGCCATATTTGATACGCAACAGAAGTGCAAATAAAACGTATTAGTGTGTTTTCACTATATAACAAATGTACACTGCACGAGACTCGTAAAAAACCACCGATGATTTTCTGGGTTGATTAAGCGGTCTGTAATGATTTGGATCCCTAACGATGCTAACTAGCTAGCTAATAGCAGCCATCGTCACTTCCTGTGTTCACAGTTTACGACATACAGAGTAGATAGTAAGAGAAGTGTCTGAATTGAGACACAACACTAGTACTAATGTATTCTGTGCACCAGTCGACCCTAAAATTAAATTCAGTTTAATCTCGGATCAAACGTACGTTAAAGGGTCTTCAACATGTTGTCTTTAGTGGTTGTAATGATCTGTTAAATGTCTGTTTCCTTGTTCCTTGTGTTCCTGTGTCCTTGTTGATATTGCAAATGGAGCTGCTGTGATGCGAGAGACATTTCATACTTGATCTGACAATAAAGTATCATGGTATCATATAATGAGTCCCAGTGCATGTCTCACCTCTCTCAAAGGGTCTGACAGTGGTTGTAATGATCTGTTAAATGTCTGTTTCCTTGTTCCTTGAGTTGATATGTGTTGATATATTGACCCAGGATCTTTCTCAGTGTCCCTGTTGGAGCTGTTTTGACTTTAACTGGATTATTATCGTCTGATTTATTTGTCGGATGTGTTTCGAATACTTTCACTTCACGTCTTATCTAGCGTTTTACACATAATAATAATAATAATAATAATAGCTTGGATTTATATAGCGCCTTTCAAGGGACCCAAGGTCGCTTTACAAATAATAGGGCAAAAACAAACATAACAAAACAAAAGTCAGACAAAACAACAAATAGATTAGGGGCCGAAAGCCTTGGCAAACAGATGGGACTTGAGGGCCCTTTTGGTCGAGTGTGGGGATGTTGCGGATCTCCGCAGGGAGAGCGTTCCAGAGGGTGGGGGCTGCCACACTGAAGGCTCTGTCCCCGAAGGTTCACAGGTTGGTGCGGGGGGTGGTAAGCAGGCCAGAGTCTGAGGACCGCAGGTTCCGGGGTGGGGCATGTGGGTGAAGGATGTCCGATAAGTACTGGGGGGCAAGGGCATGGAGGGACTTGTAGGTGAGGAGGAGGATTTTGTATGCTCTGCGGGACTTGACCGGCAGCCAGGGGAGGTGGATGAGGGTGGGAGTGATGTGCTGCCACGGCTTTGTATGTGTGAGTACCCTAGCAGCACAGTTTTGGACATACTGGAGCCTGTCCAGGGTTTTGTTGGGGACACCAAACAGGACACCATTGCAGTAGTCCAAGCGGGAGGTGACAAACACATGCACTAGGGTTTCTGCAACCGACTCCGAGAGTGACGGTCGGAGTCTGGCAATGTTCCTTAGATGGAAAAAGGCCGACATGTGTTGCTTTTAAATGTTTTGTGCTGTATGAAGTGATGCAGCGTATCAGCGTTGTTTGGAAACAAAAATGTTGTGATACGAGACATTTCATACTCAATCTGACATCAAATCCTATCATATAGCCTTACAAGACATTTTCAAAGACATAATAACTGTAGAGATGAAAGATTTTATACTTTGGGAATTTGCCACAGACCTGGTTGAGAAATACTTATTGAACTTTCTGATCATAAATATCATACATCGGAGCAATTTACTACAAACTGGGAGAAGTGGACTCGGCTGTAAAGACATGTCCACTCCCTAATAGTTCACTGTTCTTTTATTTTATTATCATTTGTTCTCTTTGTGTCTTTCTCATCTGTGTTTTTTGTGTCATGATGTGTCATTGCTGAAAAGAACTATGAACAGATGTATGTCCTTCGTGTAAAGATGCAATGTACAATATGCGGAGACAATGTTTGACACTCAATGCCAATAAAAAGTCAATTCAATCCTATGATATAACTGGTCCCGGGGCATGCGAGTGTCTCTAAGCGTTCCCTCTGAGCAGCAGGTAGACGGCCGACACGGTGATGGCGGTGGCGCTGAACGTAAACACGGCGTTATAAACATTATTTGTCCTGATCCGTTCTCCCAGAGTTCTCTGAGTCTCCTCCAGACGCCTCACCAGCACCTCAGACTCCCATCGGTCCTTTCTCTCCGTTTCCTTTATTGTTTCTAACAGCGGCTGTGGTTCAGTGTGTGGTTCAGTGTGTGGTTCAGTGTGTGGTTCAGTGTGTGGTTCAGTGTGTGGTTCAGTGTGTGGTTCAGCCTGTAGTTTGGTGTGTGTTTCAGTGTGTTTGTCCTCCAGGAGCTTCTTCACCACCATCATTCCCCCCTCCATCCTCCCCATCCCTTCCTCCATGTTCCCCAGTTGAGGCAGCAGCTTCTCCAGCAGTGTCTCTGTCCTCTTGCTGCTGATGTGGAGCTCCTTCAGGGCCGAGAGAGGCACGGAGGGAGGATCTGAGGATGTGTGTTTGTTGTCCTGTAGGAGGACGACGTCCCGCGGAGAGAAAGCGTCGCTCAGAGCGAGTCTCAGGCTGTCGATGAGCGAGCGAAACTCGTTCTGCTGCAGGCGGTGATTTCCTGCCTGGACTTTGAGAGCCTCCTGAAGACTCTCCGGACCTTTCTGAGCCTCCAGAAGCAGGTTCTTCAGCTCCTGAAGACGAGAGAGGAGAGGAAGAAGAGGTGTCAGTGGAAACAACAAATACAAAGTCCTTGAGTTTTCTCACATAAACTCTAGAGTAGGGGTATCAAACAGACCCGTAAGAAGGGGGGGGGAGTTTATGCTGAGTATCTGATCAGGAGAATTCAGATGCAGCTAAATGCTGCTGTGATTAAGACGATTATGTCTGAAACAGTATGGAGCTCAAATGCTTTTTCTCTCTCAGGTTTACCACAAGGTGAGTTCCTTTTTTTATTTCCTGCTTTATTACACATGCTCTCTCCAGTACAGGTTAGCTCTGAGTGTTAGCGATGCTTGCTAATGTAAACAAAGACCATATTACGTCCAAAACAAGTCTCATTGTTTCTGACATTTCTGATATTACGTCATATCGGACGCAAATCTGGATCAGCTCTGTTGTTCCCCTGTTTTTAGAGATGTGGGTACGGAGGGAAAGAGAGAGGGTTTTATTTTCTGACGCTGCGTGAGTTCCCCGACACACCGGGGACACATCTTTATGTATAAAAGACATCAAAAAGTGCATTTTGCATGATAGGAGACCTTTAAAGTAAGTTATTTTGTTTTTCATTAACTTGGAGTAATCACAGTGAGCAGGTCTTCTCTATGTCCGGGCGTGAGCATCATCAAATAAACAGACCTTTACAACTTTGAATAAATAGATTTTAATAAGAAATGTTGCTCCTCACCTGCAGACGGACTCTGTTGATGTACGTTGACCCCATGACCCCGATCAGCGCTCCGAGCACCGACCCGATGATGGACCAGTTCTTGGTTCTCTCCGCTCTCGTTCTCTCCTTCTCGTGACTCGCCCGAACGCCCGCAGAGAATAAGGCGAACTTTTCCCGCTCCGACCCCTCTGCGTTCTCGTACGCCGTGCGGAGACGACGCTCCTCCTATCGGGGAGAAGGGGACATTATTAACAAGCTTAAAAACCGGTTACATGTTCAAGGACATTATTTATATACGTGTCCCTGGTGTGGACTCACAAAGTGTCAGAAAACAAAACCCTCTCTTTTCCTCCGTACCCACATCTCCAAAAAACGGGGGATCAACGGAGCTGATCCAGACTCAGCACGTTCAGCTCACCTGCAGCAGTCTGTGCTCCTGCGTGGCGAGCTCCAGGTAGTGAGCTTCTTCTCTGGAGACCCGGTCCAGGCGGTCTCGGACCTCTTTCAGACGGACCTGCAGAACCTCCAAGCTGCCGTGAGCCTCGCGCACCATCCCTCTGGACACCATGAACGCTGACTCCGCCTGGAACAAACACACGTCGTACACTCAGGATCTTTCTCAGTGTATCTGTTGGAGCTGTATTGTTCCTATGTCTATTATGCAAGATTAGTTTTATGTTGAGCGTTTATGTTTGAACACTGCACGTCTGAAATGCAACCTCAATATGAAGGGATGCAGCGTTACAGCATTGTTTGGGAAACTAAATGAAGTGAGACAGAAGCCACAGCACCGGAGTAAGATCAGGGATTATTTGGATAAAACAGACTAAAACACCACGATACCATCATTTGTTCATAATAACTGTAAGAGACATTTGAATGAAGCTCAAATAGATGAGAGTAACACATGCGTCACTTCCGGGCAAAAATGACGGCCCCGCCCACTTTTGGGGGAAAACAACGCAGTCATTTGAATGGCGGTCAATTCAAATTCTGAAGTTTTTGCCAATCCGATCAGAAATTATAGAAAACCGTGGATTTTTGGATCTTCAGAGAGCCCGATTACGATGGCCAGACAGGCAAACAATGACATTAAATCATTGGAAATAGACAATCGGGCTCGATATATCGTTAAATTAAAATCAGTAGGCGAGGCCGTCATTTCTCCAGCTGTTACTCTCATGAGCGAGGCGGAAAATAATAGTTTTATCATACCAACAAGCTGCTGTGTCGTTTATTGCTCCTCGAACATGAAAACAAATGCAGAGTTCAGTGTTTCTGTACATCCTCTAAGAACAAAGGAGCTCTGTGGCTTCAGGCTCAATCGCCGTTCAAATGACAGCGTTGGTTTCCCCCAAAAGTGGGCGGGGCCGTAAAGTGACGTAGATGCTACTCTCATCTATGGACAGCGATCGCCTACTGCTATATTTAACCATATATCGAGCCCGATCTTCGATTTCCAATGATTTAATGTAATTGTTTGATTGTCTGGCCATCGTAACCGGGCTCTTTGAAGATCCACAAATCCACGGTTTTCTTTCATTTCTGATCAGATTGGCAAAAACTTGAATTGACCGCCAATCAAATGACAGCTTTGTTTTCCCCCAAAAGTGGGCGGAGCCGTCATTTTTGCCCGGAAGTGACGCATGTGTTACTCTCATCTATTTAAGTTGAGCTTTTCACAATTGTGTGTCGCAGTCCTATTACTTAGGGCTAAAGGTATTTAAGGTGTGTGTTTTCACCTGATGGGAGTGTCTGACCCCAGAAGGTCATATGGTTTTTGCATTAGCTCAAGTGTGAGTAACGCATTGTCTGTATGATCAGGCAGTGAGTTATTGTGTAGATGTGTATTCATTCTGCACCTGATAACGAGCCTACCGATTCATCGCTGAAAATAACAACACTCCCGCCAGATCCTCACCGGAGTTAAAACACCACAGTAGCTTTAGTTTGAGGCTAAAACCACCGGACTCAGGGACAGCTTCATCCCACAGGCTATAAGACGATTAAACACTTTCATTTCATTCATCTGTCTGCAACTTACAAATGATTTATCTATATATCACATTCAATTTACTTGTATATAGACTCTCCTTGCACTATTTTCTATTTTATTTGTATTTACTTGCACTATTTTATCTGTCTTATTTACTCCTATTGTCCTATATATATTCATGTTGCTCTGTTGGAGGAGCCTGAGACTTCAGTTTTTCATTGCCACATCTACACTGTAGCTGCTGAGCACATGACAATGAAGCCATGAATTGAATAAGTCTATAACGCAGGGCAGCAATAAGACAGCTTCACACTGACCTCATTGACTCTGGTTTGAGCCACTCGGACCTCGTTGATCCCGACAAACTCTTCATATCTTTCCCACCAATAGTTCAGAGAGGAGCTGGCTGCCTGAGCCGACCTTTGACCCCACTGATGACCCAACTCACCTGCATGCTGGAGGACAGAGAGAAAAGAGGAAAGTCGTTTAGTTTCGTGTCATTTTTTTCAGTTTCAGATGATAACGCTGTGTTTATAACAAAACTGTTAAAATAGTTTTAATACAGGGTTTCTGCAGGTTTCAACAAGAAACATTTTAAACAATTAAGGCCACAACGATTGACATTTAATACCAGGGGTGTTGAAATTAATCGTTTCTACGATGCATCGCGATGCGGACGTGGATGATTCTGCATCGATGCAGTGACAGAACATAATTGATTATAGCGTAGTAACGTTGATTCCTGATTTTACGGCCGCGGCTTTACAATAACGTTTTTTTTTCTGTCACTTGAATATCAAATCGGTCGGTGACGCAGAGATCAGGGAACAGACGTGACAGCGGCACGAAGCAGTCTGCTTTATCCACCAACACAAGAACACCAGTCCAGAACCAACAGCAGAAGGACCCGCTCTGAATCACTCCGTGTCGCTGCGGCTCAGAGACACAAGGATTTATGTTTTTTTTTTTTTAAATACTCACGTTACAATCATGTCAGGTTTTTGGTGGATTTAATCAAGTCTTGGATTGCAGAGTATGAATGTCCTCTTGCTATTTGCATACGATATACGTGTGTAAAGTTTGTGAAGGCAGGAGGAAAAAAGCTTCCGCGATCACCGTCTCCTCTCCGTTCCTCCAAACCCCGCCCCCTCCCTGAAAATAATGAGTGACAGGCTGATAGTGACCCGATAGAAACTTTATTATTCACTTAATCACTGATTGAGATATAATGAAGCTAACTTAATCTCATACATTCATGGGATTTATGTAACAGTAAGACAGAGAATGCAAGTGTGCACCCACATGCAGTATTTAGTTTGTATATGCTGTTGTAAATACTCCTGTTGTCTGCTGTGTTCAGACTCAAGTCCTGTGTGTGATGCCACATTCAGGACATTCAGTGTCCTTCTTTTAACAGAAGACCGTTGCTAGAAGCTGCAGCTAGACTGCAGAAGCATTAGTTTTTTGTTTTGAGGATGGAACAACTTCACACACAGATATAGGGAGGCTAGACCTATACACTTGATGTATTATGGTTTATAATTTAATGTCAAGACATTTATGTTATTGATTTCTGAAGCACTTTCTAAATAATAAAAGGGAGTTCATATTTATCTAACTGCATGTATTCATTGATGAAAAAGAAGCCATGTGCAGTAATATAGAAAATTGAGGATACAACGCATTGTTATGAATTGGTATTCAAAGGTCAACTCAAAGAATGGTTGAGAAACAAACAGACGTGCAATCACCGCTAAATGCACTTTAACACAGGGGTATCTGCTCTTGCACTCTATAGAGTGGCGAAGTCCCTCCCCTTCCGGTGGACCTCCATGGGACCTTATTTCAGAAAAATTATGTATTGAAGTTAATGGAGAGAGAAAGATTATCTTTCGATCCCGTTTGAATTGTGCCACGAATTACACATATGATGTTTGTCAATTTAAAAGATCATTTGAAAAAAAAAAAAATGTGTCGTAAAACTGTGAAGTAACACATTTGTTTGTGTGAAACGCTCAATGAACTACATCTCTCGTCAACAACACACGTCACCAAGATGGCCGTCACTACTGTCTTGTCAACACAACGATTGACTACCCTCACTATCACCACAATGAAACACGTCCTGAAGAAATTCATGCAAAGCTGCCTGCCTGCCTTCCTTTGATTCTCTCTGAACTGCCTGGTCGTTTTAATGTTTAATGTCAACCATTTGTGCAGATAGCATGAAGTAGAGAAGATCGCCGATGCTAACGTTAGCGTTAGCATTTCTCCCCCGGGCTTAAATGGTGTATTATAGAATGACCACACCGGTGACAGTACTATTCAAAGGGTTCACGAAATATGACTACTACTCTTACTGTTTAACATTTTGGGTTACTTAATGTTACTTCATGTTAAGGCTAATAAAAATGACAAGGCTGTAATGCTAACTAACGTGCTAGCTACTAGCTAACTTGATCAAGCCACTCCTGGTCCTTTCATCAGACTCAGCAAAAGAACGAGCAAGACCCATTGCTGGTATAATAACAACCTGGTACTAAGCACACAGGCATCTTGTTAAAGTTATCTTATCTTAGCCAGCGCCATATAGATAGATTATATCTATATGGCGCTGATCTTAGGTATCTGAATGGTGGAGGAAAACAATTGTGACATCACTTACGCGACTCTGGGATTTGTAGTCTTTCTAGTTACGTATTTTTCATAGTCTTATATTTCAACAGTTTTACGACAAACTGTGACTTTTTTGACATGGAAATGATTTTTTTAAGATTGACAAACATCATATGTGTAATTCATGGCACAATTCAAACGGGATCGAAAGATAAGTTTTCTCTCCCCATTGACTTCAATGCATAATTTTTCCGAAATAAGGTCCCATACCCGGAAGTAGGTGGGCGTGACTTCGCCACTCTATATGTCGTTGCTGCTATATTGTACTGCCATGTGGTAAATACTGCTCTTTTGCATTTTTTGCACAACATGTATTTTGTTTTTGCTATGTTTGTAAAATGTAAATTTCTTAAATGTTTTATGTGAGGGACTGCGGATGGAAATTAGCTGAAAGCTAAATCTGGCACGGTTACGCTTGACACATTTGAATGTTTTAAGTGTTCATTACAGTGCATTGTCCCTGCCAAAGAAACGATTAAATAAAGAATTGTATTGATATCGAATTGAATCGGTGACAGGATAATCGTAATAGAATCGAATCGTGAGACCAGTGAAGATGCACAGCCCTATTTAATACCCTGTTGTATTTTGCAGTCACACTGGCAGAGGTATGAAGGAAAATCAGTAGGAATGAAATAAGACAATGCAATAGTAATATGCAACAGCAGCCTAAAATATAATCTAGTTTAACCTATAATCTACATTTTAGGAAGATGTAAGGGTAGCTCGACAAATAAATTCTGACAGGGGCGTACATTGAATTAAATATAGACAAAAACTTCAACAACCATCTTGATTATAAACAGTTAAAATAAGAACATTCATTTTAACAACAATACAATTGTAATTAAGATAATTTTCAACCTTTTTAGGTGATACATTTATATACTTAAGACGTTTTGCTTGGGCACATGAAGCAACATCAGTTGATGTTGTATATGGTGAATAAAATGTGTTTAAATCAGTTGTAATATATTAGTTTGTACCTGTAATGCAGCCAGGGCGCGCTCCTTTACAGCCTCAGCGTTGCCCTTCCCATCAGGAGGGGTGGGGTTAACCGGTGGGGTTTGTGGAGGGGTGGGTGGAGGAGATCCAGGCTGATGGTGAGCGCTGTAGGTCCGGATCAGAGAGATTCTGCCGGGCAGGAAGAGGCGAGAAAGACAACAAGAGCCACGAGTCCTGAGACAGATCTGAGCTCCTCTGTACCTGGAACAGTGAAGATAGTTGCTAAATATGTCCCCAGTCTCTTTTTAATAATACAGTTGATAAGAGTCTGAAAAGTTGCTAAATATGGTGAGAAGATTCTGCAACATTTAAAATTTGACCTACTCAGAACCTGCTATATCTGAAGCCCAAAAACAATTAAGTAAGACATGGGATTTACACAAAAGCGGCAACTAACTGGAGGGACATCAAGATTTGGAAACGTTACTAATTAAGAAATTAAAAGAATGGCATCAAGAGAGTGCATCAATATCAATATCAGCAGTTAATGTCTTCTCTGTCATTTTTATACTTAGCAAGATAAGATAAGAAGTACAGCATAAAAAGACACGGCATTATACAATAAAAATTAAAAGACTAGAAAATAAACAATCCAAAATGTAAACATCTCAATAGAAATCAAATAGCATTATAAAAAAACTAGAAAATATACATGTTGAATTACAACAATTTACAGTAACAAAATATAAAGCAGGATATTATATATACATAAGTATGTGAGGAATGGAATATTAAATATTAGATTGAATATAAATGTAAAATGTACAGTGTGATTTTAAGTCCAGTAATGTTGTTAATCCTCAAATTCAGCCATCAGATAAATCGACATTTAGTAGAAGTACCTCATTGCAGCAGTCAGGAGTGCAGCTTCAAAACTGTCAACGCTTCAGTTTCACTGCTATTGAACATAATCTGGAACATGAACCTGGGAAAAAACAGTTACATATTATACATTTATTCAGTATTTTCTTAATATTGTGTATTTTTTAAACACTCCAGTGATAAATGGTTGTACTGTGAATATGTCTATATTTGCTGTTAATGTTGATTTTTTTTGTATTGTATTTGTATCTTATTCTATATTTTAAATACTTTTAACTCATGTCTAATGCTTGACAACACTGCTGCTTAATTTCCCGATTTGGGATGAATAAAGTATTTATCTATCTACATGGCTGAGGACTTCTTATCCTACTTTCATATGTCTGTGTTTATCATATCCTACACATTTTAAACCAAATTTTTGACTAATTAAATATATGTTTTGGGAGGGTTACATAAGTTTAGTTTATTTGATAAGTGTTGGGTTTCAACTTTACATGTGGGAAAAAAAACATATAAATTCCACAAATATACAATTTCTTATTCACATTTAACTAAAAGAGAAAACCTGATTAATACGCATTTTACACTCAAAACATGATGAAAGACTTCCCACATGGTGACCTATCATCATCAAACTCCTATTACTGACTGATGAAACAACTCAATAACCAGCGATAAAGGATAATAATGATGTGTAAAGGGTGTAATATAATTAATATAACTTTAATAGCGATTTTCCTCCAAGGTTATCTGTCACTTCTGTGTATTTCCTGCTTCATCCCCAGCTAGCCTTTAGCTACCAGTTACCGGTAAACTCACTTTAAAGTATTATACACAGAATATGTGATGGTTTCCCTCACATTACAAGGACGTAAAACATATATACCTGTTGTCCTCAGTGTTGTCAGAGCATACATGTCACAAGGACGCCGTTTATTTGAGCTAACTCGTTAGCATTATGGATGTATAAAGAGCGGTGACGTTCATTCCTATGACAGTTGCTCGGTGGCACGTGAAGCCAGAAATGCATCATCATCATCCGGGTCCTTTTGCTTATGGAGCATGCGCAGTAGAGTTTCCCGTAAGTCAAATTAATAGAGGGAAAAATAACTCTGGATTCAGCTTTTAGAGTATTTTACAACTTTTACACCCTGATGATTCTAATCAGGGCTATATAAGTGTTCGTGCTAGGTAGTATATTTAGCTAAAAAAAAATTAGACGCTGATTTACAGACGTCTCTTCCCCCAATGTAAGTCAACGGGGAAATGTCATTTGTGGCCAACATGACGTCACAAGAGTTGTAGTACCAGTGTTTGGCCACTACGACCGTTTTCAAAAATCTGCTTCAACGGTCGGCGCTGGTGACGGTTGATTTTCATTCAGGCACATAACGGTCCTTCTACTTCCAGTTTATAGTTCACTGTGGGGTCCTGAGAGCGCGCATTAACAACTGGCAGCAGAACACAAAACCTATTTTTCTCTCTTTAAAAACTACTGCGAATCAGATTTAAAATGTCCGGAAGAGAAGGTGAGAAGTGATTTTTATCTGATAGTCATCATAAAAGATATATTTATGTGTTTCTGTCAGCAGGCAGCGTGTTTTACTGGGTGGGTTAGCTTGGCATGCTAACGAGAGCATGAGTCTCATGACGTCATTGCTTGCACCAAACCACGTTTAGAATCTGCCGCAGTGATTAATTATGTGCTTGTTAGTCAGTGTATATATTGAAAAATATATGATTTTAGATCATATTAGAACCACTAAGATTGTCTGCAACTTTCGGCTCATAAATGGTGTTGTTATAGGGAATATTAATAAAACATTAAGTGGATTTTACCCTTTTTTTCCTATTGTGTTAAAATCTTACTTTCATCTAAAATGTGTAACTCTCGCGATACTTATAGGCGAAAGCATGAGTTGACGTGTTTCTTCACCAAACCACGTTCAAAATCTTAACACTTTAATATGTTTCTGCTTGTCAGGAAGGGTATACATAAATGAAATGATGTATTAAGATATATATTTGAATCATGGCCATCGTCTGTAACATTCGGCTCATAAATAGTCTTAGAATAGTGAATTTAAACCAAATATTAAGTGTATTTCCCTCGTTTCTTATTTTGTTAACTGGCAACAGACAATTTAAATTAAAATCTAATATGTGGAACTATCGCGATATTTTAAGGCTCTGGATTCATGTCATATTAAATAGCAGGTCTTATCTATGTGTTAGTTTAGCACTCAGCATTTTCCGATTTATCAGAGGACTGCAGCCGTGACAATATCTATTTATTATTCATCTTTTATAACATGTATTATCTTTGTTCCACAGGAGGCAAAAAGAAGCCCCTGAAGGCGCCCAAGAAACAGAACAAGGAAATGGATGATGTAAGTATCAGAATATAGGCATTTGCATAGTTACAGCAATAGTAAAGACAGAGACAACAAATAAAACACTATTAAATAAAGGCATGCACATAATAACATATATTGTGTGTGTGCAGGATGAAGTTGCCTTCAAGCAGAAGCAGAAGGAGGAACAGAAGGCGTTGGAAGTGTTGAAGACCAAAGCTTCAGGAAAAGGACCTATGTGTAAGACTAGAAACACATCAATGCACTACATGTGTTGCTTATTTAAGGAACCGTTTCACATCGTTTTAGTGTTTTTTACACAGTGTTTCTGCCAGACCAGGGCTGAGAGGGCCTCAGTTTCGCCGCTGCGAGGCTCCGGCGCTCGCAGTTCACGCGCGTGCTCCACTAACACCCCCCCGTCAAGGCTCACCGGCAGTACACTTTCCATCACAGGAACACGCTTTGCTGGCGGCGAAAATAATCCCACCAGACTCCTTTGCCCCTCCAACAGAGGGATGTCCCTTTTCCTTTTTCCTTTTCGTCATTTCAAGTGATAAAAACTCTCGATCTTCTCTCGAATTATTTATTTGTTTGGACGCACTCGGCTCGAGTTCAGGGCGTTCCGAGCTGAATAAGGGTGTCGCATGACGGCAAGACACCCCCCTGGCGGAAACGCTGCTTTTACAACAATACTAACATGCCATAAATACATTTAAAGGGTTGAGTCATGTTGATGCTTAATGCCAGGGGTACACAGGATTACTCCTCTAGTTACTAGGAGTGTACAACATATCTAAACACTTACGACAATATTGTTTTATGTTTTGTGACACTGTAGTTTCTAGATGCACTGTTAATTTATTTGGTAGTTTAAAGGTGGGGTAGGTAAGTTTGAGAAACCAGCTCGAGTGCGCTAGAATTTGAAAATACACAGCCGGAGAAAATCTGCCACTTCCTTACAGAGCCCCTCCTCCAACACACACGAACGCGCACATGACCAATGAGGGCACGAGATAAGTTTGTGCACAGATGGAAGGCTGACAGGCAGGTAGGCCATCCAGTTATTTTAGCCGGCCGGCTCAGATGATTGGTCGTGCTTTTTACAGTATTACGGCTTCCACAGATGATATTTTTTTATGTATTTTTTGTCAAAGCACTTCAGATATTCATTGCTATCGGGATGTTAAGAGCATTCCATGGAATATAACAAAAAGTGTATCTCGAGCCGGTTTCTCAAACTTACCTACCCCACCTTTTAATTGTGAAGATTTGTGGCAGACAGTGGCTCAGATCGAACAAAAAAAATTCTAAATCTAATTAAACCTGTGAGAATAAACACATAATATCCCCAGATGTATGCCGCTATGTAGTCCTAATGGAAAGTTATTTTGAAGTACTTATTTCTGTTTTATTTACCTTTCATATTACGATTATAAATACAAAATCTAAATTAGCATATTATTCATAATATGTTATTAAACCACCAAGTGGTAAAGACATTTAAATAAGCTCCATCTTAACATTCTGCAATATTGAAGTAATGTTCACATAATTCATGGGTAAAAATAACCCTATAATATGAGATAAATACTTAAATGATCTGCTAAATTAGTTCTGTTACTGTTGGGACATATTGTCCACAATACTGTACATATACACACGTTTTAATACAAGTTAGTAAGAAAGCTTAAAATGTGTTTAATTAGGGCTGTCCGTCGATTAAAATATTTAATCGCGATTAATCGCATGATTGTCCATAGTTAATCGCAAATTAATCGCACATTTTGTATCTGTTCTAAATGTACCTTAGAGGGATATTTTTCAAGTTTTTAATACTCTTATCAACATATGAGTGGACAAATATGCTTTATATGTTTGTTATCATTTGAACAATGACAAATATTCTCATGAATATTAAACACAACAACCTCTGAACATTACAAATATTCACCTCAATTCAACCTTGAACCTCGTATGTGTGTGTGGAATTGTTGGAGCTATATGCAGCTCAAGGCATATATGCTCGAATGGGAGCTGCCTGGACGCTGCAATCATGTTGCGTGCACTATCCGTGCTGAGTGTGCTGACTTTTCGTACAATGTCCCACTGTCTGGCTACCTGCATAAAGTCAAGTGCTCGGCGCAGTTGTCGGCGAAATGTCGCTCCTCTGTTTTCATTGAAACAGCTCCTTATATCCGTTAGCGCAGCTAGCTAGCACCAGATGCTAACAACAACAACACGTAAGGTGTGCCTCGCTCGCGCCACACATACACACACCCTCCCGGTCCTCCCGATGGCCAGTCCGCGTGGAAGTGTGGTCTGCCACAAGCGGGCGGTAGGAGCGGGGCTGTGAGCATCAGCTTGTAGATGGTATTTTAAACTCGATGCACTCTGAAACTACGGGGCGGCCGAGGACAAAAAAATACACATGCGTTAAAATAATTAGTGGCGTTAATTTTTTTTTGCGGTAACTTGACAGCCCCAGTTTTAATGCATGATATTTCTACACCAATGTAGAGCAAATTTTACCCTTAAAAACCTCTCATTACATTTTTAATATGAAATCAAAACGTCTACTTTCAGCAATGTATGTACAAACATAAAAATCAGCCGCCATTTTTACCACTTGATCCATCGGTCATATTGGAGGTTTTCTTACGCGCACAAATATTAACTTTTAGTTTTTCTTGGTTCAGAGGAAGCTAGAAGATTAACCTTTATTTAACTCGAGGAGGAAATTCAGTTTCCACTCTGTTTTTATTAGGGATGGGAACGATTAATAGAATATTAGAATTTTTTTTTTTGGGAGGGGTGCCTAAGTTGATTACATATTATCAAATGGAATAATTCAATGTATACGACAGTGCCATAGCTAAATGTGTTAGGTCTAAAGGTGTGTTTTGCTCCGCTCACCGGCCCCTCACAGCGGGCAGAGCTGCAGGGACTGATCTCTCTCTCACGTGTCCGGTTATACTTCACTCGCGTTTATGTCCAAATCCATCAGATCTAGCTAGTTCTAGCTAATGATATGGCTGCTGCCCCTCCCTACACGCAGATCACACAGACTCAAACCTCATCTTATGCCCACATTCCAGCTGAGAGGGTCTTCTCTACAGCTGGCCTGATTGTGAATCGCCTCCGCACCCGCCTCTCCCCAGAGTAGACATGCTCATATTCTTAAACAAGAATGAGTATTGAATAGCTGCATTCTGTGCATAGGCCCTGTTACAGGTTGTTGATCTCTGTTGTGATAGGGTTACGTTACCCTAACCCGTTATGTTCTTCGTGTATGATCCCTCTTTCATTTAAAAACCAAGTTATGTTTTAAGCATGAAAGCTGTAGGCCTATAGCTGTCAACTGTTCAAACTGTGATCACCAGTTCAATACATGTGACAAATTCAACTTGGTTTCTAAACTTATTTGAACATGTATTTATTTATTTTTCAAAATTAAAAAAATGTATTTATTATTTAATATTTATTATGTAAAAAAAGTTTCCCACATTTTTATTTTTTTTATAGGATATGTACATTTCGGTTAACCGTTTTTTAGGGGTCGAATATACATTTGCTTTCAAATTCCCATCCCTAGTTTTTATATACACACACACACACACACCAAGTGTATATAGGTGCACATGAACATGCAGCTTTTTGTTATACAAGACTGTACGAATACATCCATTCATGTTCTGTAAAAAGACAGCATCCCTTATCGTATACCTTTTTTTTTAATGAATCTGTTTTCCTGTCTCTTCCCTGCAGGCGGCACTGGCATCAAGAAATCTGGCAAGAAGTAACATGTGAATCTGACGACGATGTGTGTGTGCTCCCGGTGTCGCGCCGCTGAGAAGACTCCATTTTGTTTTGCTATGTAACTCACAAACCCCCAATAAATTAAAGACCTGCTCTAAATAGTGAACAGGATGAATTGAATATCAGTACACACTTCTTAACTCTCCAACAGCATGTAGAGAGTTCCTCAGTCACACACTGACCAACATCTTTACATAGAAATGAAGGCGTGCTGTTTAAGAAATGTTGGAAAAATGCTGATTTCTACCGTATTTTGTGTCCATATGAAACTAAAGCAGAAACACACACATCACCACCAAGTTGTTATGTTTTTGTGTTGTATTGTAAAGAGGGAGATACTAATAAAGTTTTTGTAATAACTACTGCCTGTCATTTTCATTTGTGGTGTGTTGGATACTTTATATATACACAGTCTATGGTTGGATATCATGGGGTTTAAAGAAACAGTGATAATATAAAAGCTATCAACCGGATCAATAAATACACAATCGGCTTTCTACAATGATCATTTTTATTTATAAAAGAATATATAAAAGCTTTACTTACAACATGACCTCAAGGAGAGAGTAAATTGAAATTAGGAAACCATATTGTGTGACAACTTTTGTTTACAGTCATAAAAGATTTAATACGTATTTCAAAAGCATATCATTTCTTAAAATAACAAGACCATTGGATATATTGATTCAGTCAAAAACTCCTGCTGATGTTCCGGTGTATATCAGTATGTAGTGTCTCTACTTTAAAGAGTCCTCTCCTGCTGATGTTCAGGTGTATATCAGTATGTAGTGTCTCTACTTTAAAGAGTCCTCTCCTGCTGATGTTCAGGTGTATATCAGTATGTAGTGTCTCTACTTTAAAGAGTCCTCTCCTGCTGATGTTCAGGTGTATATCAGTATGTAGTGTCTCTACTTTAAAGAGTCCTCTCCTGCTGATGTTCAGGTGTATATCGGTATGTAGTGTCTCTACTTTAAAGAGTCCTCTCCTGCTGATGTTCAGGTGTATATCGGTATGTAGTGTCTCTACTTTAAAGAGTCCTCTCCTGCTGATGTTCAGGTGTATATCAGTATGTAGTGTCTCTACTTTAAAGAGTCCTCTCCTGCTGATGTTCAGGTGTATATCAGTATGTAGTGTCTCTACTTTAAAGAGTCCTCTCCTGCTGATGTTCAGGTGTATATCAGTATGTAGTGTCTCTACTTTAAAGAGTCCTCTCCTGCTGATGTTCAGGTGTATATCAGTATGTAGTGTCTCTACTTTAAAGAGTCCTCTCCTGCTGATATGCAGGTGTATATCAGTATGTAGTGTCTCTACTTTAAAGAGTCCTCTCCTGCTGATATGCAGGTGTATATCAGTATGTAGTGTCTCTACTTTAAAGAGTCCTCTCCTGATGATGTTCAGGTGTATATCAGTATGTAGTGTCTCTACTTTAAAGAGTCCTCTCCTGATGATGTTCAGGTGTATATCAGTATGTAGTGTCTCTACTTTAAAGAGTCCTCTCTTGCTGATGTTCAGGTGTATATCAGTATGTAGTGTCTCTACTTTTAAGAGTCCTCTCCTGCTGATGTTCAGGTGTATATCAGTATGTAGTGTCTCTACTTTAAAGAGTCCTCTCCTGCTGATGTTCAGGTGTATATCAGTATGTAGTGTCTCTACTTTAAAGAGTCCTCTCCTGCTGATGTTCAGGTGTATATCAGTATGTAGTGTCTCTACTTTAAAGAGTCCTCTCCTGCTGATGTTCAGGTGTATATCAGTATGTAGCGTCTCTACTTTAAAGAGTCCTCTCCTGCTGATGTTCAGGTGTATATCAGTATGTAGTGTCTCTACTTTAAAGAGTCCTCTCCTGCTGATGTTCAGGTGTATATCAGTATGTAGTGTCTCTACTTTAAAGAGTCCTCTCCTGCTGATGTTCATGTGTATATCAGTATGTAGTGTCTCTACTTTAAAGAGTCCTCTCCTGCTGATGTTCAGGTGTATATCAGTATGTAGTATCTCTACTTTAAAGAGTCCTCTCCTGCTGATGTTCAGGTGTATATCAGTATGTAGTGTCTCTACTTTAAAGAGTCCTCTCCTGCTGATGTTCATGTGTATATCAGTATGTAGTGTCTCTACTTTAAAGAGTCCTCTCCTGCTGATGTTCAGGTGTATATCAGTATGTAGTATCTCTACTTTAAAGAGTCCTCTCCTGCTGATGTTCAGGTGTATATCAGTATGTAGTGTCTCTACTTTAAAGAGTCCTCTCCTGCTGATGTTCAGGTGTATATCAGTATGTAGTGTCTCTACTTTAAAGAGTCCTCTCCTGCTGATGTTCAGGTGTATATCAGTATGTAGTGTCTCTACTTTAAAGAGTCCTCTCCTGCTGATGTTCAGGTGTATATCAGTATGTAGTGTCTCTACTTTAAAGAGTCCTCTCCTGCTGATGTTGAGGTGTATATCAGTATGTAGTGTCTCTACATGTCTCCATGCTTTAATGTTCAAAAAGCTCTTTATTTTTCTCATACTGCCTGTGTTGCAGCACCTCTTTTCACCCTCTGTCTGAAACCAGAGCCCAGTCTGCTCTGATTGGTTATCTGGCTGGCTGTTGTTGTGATTGGTCATGGGATGTCCCGCCCCTTAGCCTATCAAGTACAATGTGTTTGGGAGCGTGAGCGTTAGATGGATTTCACTATGTCGAGAAAATAAAACAAAGGGAACACAGGGATTTTAACCTTTTCAGACAATTTACGTGCACAACAACGTATAACACACTACAGGAAAGGGAAACCCCCCAAAAAACACAATAGGGCCTCTTTAAAGAAGTTCTCAGTTCATATTAGTGAGGGATGTGAGCAGCAGTCCAGTAAAGAGCCTGAGGTATAGTGTTTTGAACCCAGAATAAAATCAGGGCCAACTTAAATTGTTTTCTTCTGGTAATGTGTGGTTTCGTTTCTTGTTTAAATCTCATTCCCGCCGTTCATCTTGGCCACCTTCATGCGGAGGATCTGGATCTCCAGGCTGAGCTTCTCTCTCTCCAGCATCAGGTTTCCTCTCTGAAGCTCCAGCAGACCCTCGTCCTGCGGAGGAGTCAAGGGAAACAGCGGGAACACACCTGCAGAGAGAAACCAGGTGAGGAAGGACTTTAAAGGTCAAAATAGCTTGATGTCTTTACTTCAGGGCAAATAGAAAGTATATCAATCTTATTCGTGAAATATAAGGACTGTAGAATGCTGCAGGAATGAATCCCAAACACCGATACGAGTCAGCATTTAGCACTTTTCCTCAAATGCATTGTTTGTTTTCAAGTTTTTTTTTTGGTTGTTAGCCTGAAATAAGGTAACACAACTGAAGAGATTTTAATGTTTTGTTCTACGAGAAAATATGCCCATAAAAATACCCAACTGGTGAATTTAGAAACGGCGGTTGCTAACAAGTGACTAATGGCGCATTTCCACTACAGCGCGGTTTAAGCGTGCCGTGCCCGGCCCGTTTTTTGGTTGCGTTTCCACTAGGCGTAGTTCCGGCTAGCGGGTACTTTTTCACAGTTTTCTGGCTCTCAAATCGAGGTTCTTTCCGGACCAACAACCGGGCTGAGTATGCTAAACTAGTTTGAGAATCGCTGGCAACTACAACACAATGAAAATATTTGACCGTGATTTAATTGTAATACACGTTTCAAAATGATGACGAAGTAACAACATACTGATACCGGTTAGTAAAAACCATGAATTAATGCTTTGACAAGTCTGCAGACAGACGGCAGGCGAAAAACCTTTTAAAATGCGTGTTTTCTAAATGGAGATTGGCTAAGCTAACTCAGTATATGCTCCGACCGTCCACACTCACAACAACCGCCTACAGATATAAATAAAGCAGCGACTGTATTCACCATGACACAGACAGTCTGTGGTTTGTACTCGTTTCACTTTTGTCTAGTTTCTGAACATATATGAGGAGCTGTGAGCTCTGAGGGCTAACGGCTAACGGCTGTGTTGTTTTTCTGGGGTTCTCATTGAAGATGACGTCACGGCTCCGCCTACACTGCGTTACTATAGTTACTGCCCCAGCTACTAAACTGTAATGGAAACGCAGCATAAAGTGAGCCAGGCCTAACGAGGCCTAATTATACCGTACTAAGCCGTGCGAGGCCCTGCAGTGGAAAAGCGCCATAAATGACACGACTAAACATCGCGCTCAACATTAGCCACCTTTAGCTTAGCGGTGTTGACGTGAAGTCATGTGACCGTGCTGTAGTTCCTTCATAGCCCAACATTAGCCTCCTTTAGCTTAGCGGTGGTGACGTGAAGTCATGTGACCGTGCTGTAGTTCCTTTATAGCCCAACATTAGCCACCTTTAGCTTAGCGGTGGTGACGTGAAGTCATGTGACCGTGCTGTAGTTCCTTTATAGCCCAACATTAGCCTCCTTTAGCTTAGCGGTGGTGACGTGAAGTCATGTGACCGTGCTGTAGTTCCTTCATAGCCTAACGTTAGATGCCCTCCACCAAAACACATAGGTAAAACAAAGCAGATGTTCTAGTCCTCAAGTTGTTTTATTCACACAAAACAAAAAACATTTTACATTAACTTAATGATTGTATACCTATTATTACCAGTAGTAGTATCAAAGGTACATAATAATAAGTATAATTGTGTGGGTTACCATCCTCTTCATCCTCCTCTTCCTCTGAAGTGTTGTTGACGGACTTCAGTCTCACCTCCACTGGGTAATGGTCGCTCACCTTCAGAGTCTGGAAAATAAAAAACAAAGATTTCATAATTGACAATAAGAAGCTGCTGGATTTGGATTAACCTTCCAATACGTTGCATTGATTGTCAAGTGAATGAGCATTTCTGAATATCTTTTGACAACCTTTCAACACGTTTTTTTGAATATAAGATGTAATATAAGATGATGTAATGATAAAGATAAACTCAGACCTGCTCCATGGTGAGTTTGTAAGCCTTCTGGAAGTTGAAAGGTTTTGCAGAGTTTGACACGACGGCCTGCAGCATGTCGTCTCCGTACACCACGATCCTGCAGGACACGGAAACAAATAAACATAAATATCAACAGGAAAGTTCCCGGGTTGTTCACTGACACTAAGATGATTATTTTTTAAATGCATGTCTTAGATATGTTTTTGTCTAAATTAGCAAATGAGGCATGATGTTATTAAATATGTGTTTATCTGAATTTGCAGAAAATATATTTTGTGCATTTTAATTCTGTTTTTGTGTGTGTGATCTATCCGTTTTCATGGATGTGTGTGTGTGTGATACTTGCTTTTCAGTGTGTATACATGTTACCTGTACTGTGTGTGTGTAGTTGTTACATGTGTGTGTGTTACCTGTCGTGTGTGTATACGTGTGTGTGTATTTTGTGTGTGTGTTTGTGTTTGAGTGAGTGTTACCTGTCGTGTGTATCTGTATCTGTGGTACGTGTGTTGGTGTGTTACCTGTCCTTTTCGTGTGTGTGTGTGTGTGTGTGTCTGTGTGAGTGCGTTACCTGTCTTATTTATGTGTGTGTGTTTTAACTGTCTTTTATATGTGTGTGTGTGTGTAACATGTTCTGTGCTAATGAGTGCAACCTGTCGTATGCGTGTGTGTGTGAGTTAGTGTGTGTGTTACCTGTCGTATGTGTGGTCGTTTTTGTTGCTGGCCGTGGTGTCGACGTCGTCTGCGATCAACCAGTGGAAGTTTTTGTCGCTGCGGATTCTGATTCCCTTCATTTCTCTCTTAGTGACGTAGAGCCCGTCAGCGTTAAAATCTCCGAGGATCATCACGTTCTGCCCGAGGAAAAACATCAACACAATGCATAATGTAAGGAGGAGGAATGAGTCAGCTTTTAGCACTTCCTGTTCCTTCTTCTGGAAGTCTTTTGTTATTCTGAGAAAAAGTCAGAATTCTGTAAAAATTTGGAGAAAAAGTCCCAATTCTCAGAAATACCGAATTCTGAGAATTATTTGGAAAAAAGTCAGAATGTTTGAATATTCAAAAATCTCAAAAAGTAAAAATTCTGTTGTAAAAAAAAGAATTCCGGGATAGTAAAAATGTTCAGGAAAAAAAGTAAATTCTAAGTCAAAAGTCAAAATTGCAGAAAGTCTGAATTCTGAGAATTTTTTGGGAAAAAAGTCAGAATTACGGAAAGTCATAATTATCAGAAAAAGTAAAAAATGTAAGTAAAAAATCTGAATTCTGAGAAAGAAACTGGGAAAGTCAAAGTTCTCAGGAAAGGTCAACATTTTCAGAAATAGTCAGACTTCTGAGAACATTTTTTAATTTCTGCAATAATCCAAAGGAAAAATCCCATTGATTTATTGTGGAAGGGACCAGGAAGATCTCTGCACCGCTCTTGTGTTTATCTTAATAACTGAAACTCCACCATTGTTTGTATTGTTTTATAAACACTGTGGGTGTTTCTCAATCGCGAGCAGAGTTGGATGTAACGCGTTACTGTAATAATATTACTTTTGTCAGTAACGGAGTAGTGTAACGCGTTACTTTTATAATTCAGTAATCACACTACAGTTACTAACATTGCCCCGACACGCGTTACTTCGTTACTTTTATAAAATCAGTCATCATCACACTGACAGACAAGAGGGGTTTCCGCCGCAGGTTTATATGTACGTAATCTGCGCGACTTGCGCGTCCACATCTCCACGTGCAGTGCTGCATAAACATGGCTGAGTCAGCGATAACTTTCGAGGGGTGGAGGTATGCCCATTATTTTGAGTTCGTCCGAAGAATAGACAGGAATGTGACGGTGAGGTGCAAACTGTGTCCAGGCCAGAAGCTGTTATCCAGTGCTGCAAACACCACGTCAAACCTCAACAAACACCTGCAAAGAACACATGCTAAGGTGAAGCTAATAGCTAAGGACCCCCGAACCCAGAGTGAGGATGTTGTGAGTGCGCCGCCGCCGACTCCGAAGCAGCAACAATTACCGGTAACCAAAGCAGAGATGGACAGGCTTGTAGCATCCTTCATAGTAGAGGTAATGTTGCCCATTTGCACAGTGGAATCACCATCGCATCGTTCAGAGATATACTGCGCAAAATACAGATAGCAGGAGACAGAGGACAGCCATAGTCAGAGCTATCTGGATCAGTCTTATGCGACAATGGAAACTGAACTAAAGAGAACATTTGAAACTTTAGCAGTCTGCGTGATCTGCCTGCAGGGAGGGGCGGGCCGGCCCTGCGAGTAAAGTAACGAGTAAAGTAACGAGTTACTTTATGTAGAGAGTAACGAAGTAGTGTAATATATTACTTTTTTTTTAAAGTAATATGTAATATGTAATATATTACTTTTTTTTAGTAACGACCCTATCTCTGATCGCGAGTAAAGCTGCTGCAGAGCCACTATTTCAAGCATACTACGTCATCGAGTGCCGCCGAAGTACTGTTCCAATCTCCAGCATACTTGGAAATCTACCGAGCTCGGCGTACTCTGGAGAAATATCGAGGCTGCACATGAGTAGACTCCGGTCTTAAAATCCCCACAATGCTTTGCGCACGGACCAATTTCCCCAAATCTGTGGCGGAAGATGTAAGAGGCGGGGGCCTCTCATACGACGCACACCTGCACACTTGCTAGCCTGTTCCACTCTTTGTTTTCCAAATGCCAGGAAGTATTCTTGCCTCGCTTCTGAAGCAAGATGCTCGGCAGACATGTGCTACCAAGCAAGCGTACTCGCGATTGAGAAACACCAACTGTGTTCTGCAGTATTCAGATATTGATCCTCACATCAGTCCTCCACTTCTTCTTCACGTTCAGGAAAACATCGTACAGTTCGTCGAGCTCCTTCTCAGAATCGTCGGGTTTGGTGTGAACTGGGATCATCACCAGGTCCTTCAGCACTGTGAGAAAACAAACCATTTAGGCTGACTTAAAAGGTCCCCTATTATACTGTTTTTCATCAATATATCACAGGTCTCAGATATATACAGAACCTGTCTCTGATTGGCTGAAACACCAAACAGATCATTGCAGCATTACCCATAATCCCCTCTGTTTCAGCCCTGTTTCCAAAGTGCTGATTCTCTGTCTGTTACTTTAGATGAAAATAAGGAGCCCCTCCCCACGCCCCTCTGAGAGAGATTTGATTAAAAAGAACTCAATGGTGCTCTAGGAGGAGATGCAGGTGATAAGGTGGGGGGGGGGGGTTACCTTGGTTGGTGATTGGCTAATGGTTACACAAGCCAAAACATCGTTATGACATCATAAAGTGGCCAAAATCTGATCAGCTCATTTTCAGACAGGTTTTTATATAAATGGATCAAAAAGAGAGAGAATCTTTGTTCCTGAAACTTTCTGAGTCTCTTTCCACAGAGGGGACACATGTTGATGAAGAAGAGACATGAAGAAGAGGGGACACATGTTGATGAAGAAGAGACATGAAGAAGAGGGGACACATGTTGATGTAGAAGAGACATGAAGAAGAGGGGACACATGTTGATGTAGAAGAGACATGAAGAAGAGGGGACACATGTTGATGTAGAAGAGACATGAAGAAGAGGGGACACATGTTGATGTAGAAGAGACATGAAGAAGAGGGGACACATGTTGATGTAGAAGAGACATGAAGAAGAGGGGACACATGTTGATGAAGAAGAGACATGAAGAAGAGGGGACACATGTTGATGTAGAAGAGACATGAAGAAGAGGGGACACATGTTGATATAGAAGAGACATGAAGAAGAGGGGACACATGTTGATGTAGAAGAGACATGAAGAAGAGGGGACACATGTTGATGTAGAAGAGACATGGAGAAGAGGGGACACATGTTGATGTAGAAGAGACATGGAGAAGAGGGGACACATGTTGATGTAGAAGAGACATGAAGAAGAGGGGACACATGTTGATGAAGAAGAGACATGAAGAAGAGGGGACACATGTTGATGTAGAAGAGACATGAAGAAGAGGGGACACATGTTGATGTAGAAGAGACATGAAGAAGAGGGGACACATGTTGATGTAGAAGAGACATGGAGAAGAGGGGACACATGATGTAGAAGAGACATGGAGAAGAGGGGACACATGATGTAGAAGAGACATGGAGAAGAGGGGACACATGTTGATGTAGAAGAGACATGAAGAAGAGGGGACACATGTTGATGAAGAAGAGACATGAAGAAGAGGGGACACATGTTGATGTAGAAGAGACATGAAGAAGAGGGGACACATGTTGATGTAGAAGAGACATGAAGAAGAGGGGACACATGTTGATGTTGAAGAGACATGAAGAAGAGGGGACACATGTTGATGTAGAAGAGACATGGAGAAGAGGGGACACATGTTGATGTAGAAGAGACATGGAGAAGAGGGGACACATGTTGATGTAGAAGAGACATGAAGAAGAGGGGACACATGTTGATGTAGAAGAGACATGAAGAAGAGGGGACACATGTTGATGTAGAAGAGACATGAAGAAGAGGGGACACATGTTGATGTAGAAGAGACATGGAGAAGAGGGGACACATGTTGATGTAGAAGAGACATGAAGAAGAGGGGACACATGTTGATGTAGAAGAGACATGAAGAAGAGGGGACACATGTTGATGTAGAAGAGACATGGAGAAGAGGGGACACATGTTGATGTAGAAGAGACATGAAGAAGTGGATTTTGCTTAATAGGTGACCTTTAAACAAAAACAACTTAAACATTAAAACAAACTTATTTTACAGAAAACCTCTAATCTGATCAAATTGTGCTTTGAGATTCTTTACATTGTGGTAACCAGCACTGCCACACAGGATTTAAATAAGACCTTTGTGTAACTTCTCTGAAGAAATTAAAATGCTGTTTAAAGCCTGACTGGATGAAACAATAATATGTTAAATATATGTTTATATATATTCAATTATATCTGCAACAATCTTTCAAGCTTCTCTTCTTTTATCCAGGTTCTGCACATTTAAGTAAAAAAACCTAATCTATTCATTTATGTACTTTTTCATAGTCTGATAATATTATTGATGTAGTTTAACTAACATAAAATAAAACCCTGAGCACTAACTTACACTAATGAAAGCTTTCTAAAGATAATCAATGTCATATTTATAGCTTTTACTTAAACCACAACGGGCATGTTTGTCTATGATCGTACATAGGCATAAACAATACTGAGAATAAACAAAAATAAAACAAACAAGGCAAAACAATAAGAATAAAATCTGATTTAGATGCAAACCCTTTGGTGTTTCTAACTCTTTGGTTTCTTTTATTATCAGTAAACATATACACACACACGCTTTACATAACCAACCCTAATAAAACACAGTTTCACAAATTCATGGATAATTTCTCCTCTGAAAACTCTGCGTCTTGTTACCTGTGTTCAAACACCTGAACCTCAGGATGTATGGATCTCTGGCGAAAACGTCTCCTCCCTCAGTCACCTGGTCATCAAACTGATAGGAGCCTACAAGGTCAACAAGGTCATCCCTACACACACACACACACACACACACACGTAAATCAGCACATACTAATTATTTTCATTTTGCAACTTCATCACATTACATTACATGTTACTTGTTAGACGCTTTTATCCAAAGCGACTTACATACTCAATACTGTGGACAATCCCCACAGGAGCAATTTGGGGTGAAGTGTCTCAGGGACACAACGACATGCTGACTGCAGTGGGGTTTGAACCTGTGCCCCCCTGATCCGAACACCAACGCACAACCCAGTGCGCCACACGCCTCCTTCAGAGATTTAGCTGGTTTCTGCCGTGTAACTTCAAATATCTGTAGATCGCAACTTATTTTCTTTTCTGGTGTGTGCATTTAACATTTTATTCTAGATGTAATGGAACATAATAATGTGTTCTGGTTACATACAGTATGTTTCAAGTCTCACCTGTACAGGAACATGAACTGCTCTTTGTATCGTGTTCGACCCAGACGGCTACTGATCTTCAGAGTGTAGTGATGCTTCCCGTTCGCTCTGCACACACAAACCATGTTTACACCACTTCAGGGGACATTACATTGACTTCCATGCATTTCCTGGAGACTTATCCTAACCTTAACCAACACATGCCTAACCCTAACCCTTACCAAGTCTTCACCCTACCACCTCTAAAATGAATGATTCTCCTCATGGGACCTCCATTATGTCCCCATAAGGGAGGCGAGTCCCCACATGTGGCTGTGTAAACAGATTTAGGTCCCCACAAGTATAGTAATGCTAACACACACACACACACTTCTCTAATTTATTTTTAACGTGTATGTATTCTGTAGCTACTGTTGTCATATCACATAAGTTTAGATTCACATTAAAACTAACATATCATTTTTAAAGGGACAGTGTGTGGGATCTGGCGGTATCTAGTGTTGAGTTTGCAGATTGTAACAAAATGTAAATCGTTGTGTTTTGTCAAATGTAATGTAGAAACACCATGAAAATTAGATGGAAAATTAGTTTTTTATTTAGTTCTCAGAGCGTTTTAAACACATTTATATCTGCTGTTCTGAAGGGGGCTTTCACATGAATTTTGCCACTTGTTAACTTATTTTTAAAACGGATTATTACAACAGCAAATGAATGCATCACAAATGCACATATATGGCAATTAAAACCAAAGTGAAATATAATTTGGGTTTCAGGGATTTAGGTAATCAATCTGTTCCAAAAAGTTATGAGTTCACCCATGGCTCATAATTAACTTAAATTTGGCCAAATATTTTTTTGTAATCCTAAAGGCAAACCAACAAACCAAGCTGTAATAATACATATAATATTAGTAAATATAATAATAATAGTAAATATAATAATAATACTATGAATACATATAATAAATATAATGATAATATTAATAATAAATATAATAATAATAAATGTGATCATAATACATATACAATAAAAAAATAAAAAAAAATACATATAATAATAAAAATAAAATATTCATAAAAATAAATTATTAATAATAATAATAATAATAATAATACTCACTCGTTGAGTGCGTCTAGCAAGGTTTTCACAGAGTCTCCGCTGATGTCCACGACCTCCAAAATCACAACGATGTCGTATCGAGAAACGATCTGCGGAGGAAAACAGGAGAGACAGGTTTGTTTTTAAACTATTTCATTATAACATTTTACTTTCATCCAAAGTTACAATTTCAACCAAACTATGAAGAAACAAAATCAGAACAGCAAGAATCCTTCAGGTACATTTTCTCCAAATGACCCAAACCATTTAAAGTGCTATATCGAGTATTTTGTGAATAAAAAGATCACATTTGAAAAAGGAGGATTGTCTTAAATGGTGGGAATCTTGATTTGTTGTCACCTTGATCAGGATTTTGAGGACATCCGGGTCGGACACTTTGTTTCTTCCAAACTTCTGGATGTTAAAAGCTGCTATTTTCATGATGGCTGCAGAGGGAGACAGAGAAAAGACAAAAAGATCAATAACGAGATATTTTTGGTACTTTAATTAGTCTGTTGGTGTTTGAACATGCACAGGCATGTTAGGATTTACTGTCAAAACACTGTGTGTGTGTGTGTGTGTGTGTGTGTGTGTGTGTGTGTGTGTGTGTGTGTGTGTGTGTGTGTGTGTGTGTGTGTCTACTTCACATAAACCTGGCGCCTTGTTAACTCCCACATAAATGTACAACAGACAAAAATGTAAGATATGCCTGTCGTGGTTTCAGTACACGCTGTTAATATGAAATACTTCTGGCACCAAGTTTTATGAGTCTGACTTCAAACAGCAGGTGTCTTTAATGTTTTAAGGGAAGTCGTCACACCCACCCTTAAAGTCAGTGTCCCTAGGATCACCTGCATACTAAAAACCATAGACTGTATGACTAAAAAAAGTCAAATAAAATCAAAAATAAATATTGTTAACACACGATTGTTGAAGCAAAACTGCCCAATTGTATTTGTACCAGATTTTATACAGAATGTATTTTATTTTTTATACACTTTTTGTTGGATACAACTTGAGCATGCTGACTTAAACACTAGTGAATTATAATAATGAACTGTTTTCCCCAGGAGTATCTGAGCTTTAAAACTTGAATGTATTAATCAAGAGAAGATTAAAAACAAATGAAAGAAAATTGGCTGTGCATTTTCTACATTAACACTTGCAACTGTCACGCCCTGGAGACCACACATCATTCATATCCAATTAAAGTATATTTATTTAAAGAAACTAAGTTAATTATGAAGTCAGTTAATCAGTAATGTGTGTAGTGTGTGAACATGTATCAGTATATTAACAAAGACAAACAAACCCAGGTCCAGTAGAGCCATGCAACCCGAGAGGGGAGAAGGAGACTGCCTGCTCAGGCACCCATACTTGTAGCTGAGCAGTCAGCCTAAATCAGGTGTCGGCCATCTCTCCTGATTGGGGAGTGGCTAACCAGGGACTTGAGGCCTAGGGGCCGTCACACAACTGAGCTCTTGTAAGCAGTGTAAAGTGCATTTAGAGACATTTCAATGTAAATTAAGGGCACATATAGAAATATAAAAAAATGTTTACAAAATTTGAGAAAAACACAAAATAGTCCAAAAGGAGCAAATATAAAAATATTCTTTAAAAAATGTAATAAAAAATAAAAATAAAAAATGTTTTCAAACTGTTTAAATATATTAAAAAATAAATTATAAAGAGGAGCAACTCAAGAAATATATATAAAAAAATGTTTAAAAACAGTATAAATATACAAAAAATAATTAGATAAGAAGCAAATAAAGAAATGTATATTTGTTATATATAACTTAGAATCAGTAATATTTTTGCATATCAATTTCACACTGCTTAATTTTGTATTCTATAATAATTCTCATGTTACATTTTTGTATTATTGTTTTACACATTCAAAATAAATCTAATCAAATTAAAAAAAATCAATATAAACGTTTTTAAAAAAAAAACCTATTTGTTTTACGTCAAAATACATTGTATTGATCACTAAGTGAAATCAACAAGCTATATTTATCTTTTGCAAAACTAAAAACCACTACTATATCACTATATTATTTATTGTTGTATCAGAGTGTATTCCCTTAAAGCTCCCATGTCATGCTTTTCCGGTTATTACCCGTCCCCTTGTGTGTTATGAAGGTTTTTATGCATTTAAACGGTGTGCAGAGTCAAAACCCTCAAAGTACACCCTGTCGCGAGTAAAACTCTAACACAGAAAATACCTCCCCAAAACGCCTCGTTGGAGATACGTCACTGCCCATTTGAGTCTTCCATTTAGTTCCGGGTACCGCCTGATGTCATGCGGTACCCGGAACGAAATGGACCAATCCCGAAGAGCTATGGCCACACCAGCAGCGGCGTGTTCCTCCTCCAGAGGTTCGAAGAACTGGCATTTCACAGACGAAAGCTTCCAAAACATTGCCCAGTTTGAGGCCGGATATGCACAGCTTGTTTGGACCGTTTGGAGCAGGGGAAGATCTGGGTATACAACCTGTAAGTTTGCATTGTTATTTGTGTATTTATCAAACAAGACTGTTTAAATGTGTAAACTGTGTTGGACTGCTAAGCCATTGACACAGTGATATATACACATATACTGCATGTAGCTAACGAGGCTAGCTGTATGCTAGCGCAAAACAATGTATTCATGCAAGTTACATTGTATGGTAGCAGAATACCCGTATACGATTGCAATTATAAACACGTTATTGCTAGCCTAATATGAACCACTAGCTTTTGTTCATAGTAGTTTTATTACACTGCATTATAGTTGCCTTTCCTCCAAGCTAACGTTCATATCGTGTTAGCTACCAAGGTAAACAAAGCTAGGTTAGCATATTAGCAGGCAAGCTGTTCATTACACAACTACTACTAACGAATCTAAAACAACTAAGTTTCTCTAATATTTTGTGATTTGCATTTGATTTCGTCCAGCCAGATCCTGGCGGACAATCCATGACGTGCTAAAAGGCACTTCTACTACTACTGAGGCGTCGTGCTAAAAGGCACCGCACCGACTGTGCGCAGGCAAGATGCAAGGAGGAGGAATGGATGATATACCGTGTATATATGTATATTTATGTTCATTTTGTACATTTCTAAAAATAAAGTTTAATGGAAATACTTAGTAGGCCTATCCTTTCTTCCCTGAATTCATATATAGCAAACCATGATTTGATTTCTCATCAAACAGTAGTAGTTTATAACGGGTAAAAATAACTTACTCTTTGTTATGAGCGGCTCGTAGGCCACAAAGACAAGGAGACATACACGAGTTTACAAAACCACGGCACATTTATTGTGGTGAATGCAGAGATAGGTGGTTGAGAGGATCGCAGAGTTAGTCTTCCTGCAGCCGCTTTGGAGAGAGACTGGGGCCGTAGTGTCCGGAGGTGTCCGTGATCGTGCTGATTAGCCTCTTCAGCTCCACCCCATCGTAAGACAAAGGCCCTGGGGCCGTCACACTCTTCTATAACAACAGTTAAAAATATATATGTATATAAAATATACGGCTGTGCCGACGCCATGATAAGACTGATGTTACGCTGAGAGCAGCCGGGAAAAGCACTGTTAGACATGGGCGCAGCCTCTCTGGTGGTTGACTAATCAGAACGAGTGGCCGAGCTGACCAATCGGAGCACACTAGGCTCACAGGGAGGGGGGGGCAAGAGCTCCAACGAGTCGTTTAGTGGAGAAAGTGAATACTGCTGAATACACATGCTTGACAGAGATGCTGTATGCGAAACCAATGTGAGTTTGGAAAATTGCACAGTATAAATCTATTTTAGTATACCTCAACAATGTAATTATGATCAGTGGAAATGGCCATGACATGGGCCCTTTAATCAATACACTGACAGAATACACAGCTCATTTTCCATTTAGTAAAGTTATTACCCTCACTCTGAATAGCATCATGAAACAACAGCCTGAGGACAGCAGCGTGACTCACTGTAATCACTGTCATTTCATTTAATGTAATTGAACATAATGAATGTGGTTAACTTGTAAATGCTGTCGTTAATCAAAGGAGAAACACACTTTAAGTAGATCACACACACAGCGGGCAGCACGCAGTGAACATCAGCTGTTTCTGGGGTTATTATGCATGAAATGATATTCTCAGTATCAGTATGTAGTGTCTCTACTTTAAAGAGTCCTCTCCTGCTGATGTTCAGGTGTATATCAGTATGTAGTGTCTCTACTTTAAAGAGTCCTCTCCTGCTGATGTTCAGGTGTATATCAGTATGTAGTGTCTCTACTTTAAAGAGTCCCCTCCTGCTGATGTTCAGGTGTATATCAGTATGTAGTGTCTCTACTTTAAAGAGTCCTCTCGTGCTGATGTTCAGGTGTATATCAGTATGTAGTGTCTCTACTTTAAAGAGTCCTCTCCTGCTGATGTTCAGGTGTATATCAGTATGTAGTGTCTCTACTTTAAAGAGTCCTCTCGTGCTGATGTTCAGTTGTATATCAGTATGTAGTGTCTCTACTTTAAAGAGTCCTCTCCTGCTGATGTTCAGGTGTATATCAGTATGTAGTGTCTCTACTTTAAAGAGTCCTCTCCTGCTGATGTTCAGGTGTATATCAGTATGTAGTGTCTCTACTTTAAAGAGTCCTCTCTTGCTGATGTTCAGGTGTATATCAGTATGTAGTGTCTCTACTTTAAAGAGTCCTCTGCTGCTGATGTTCAGGTGTATATCAGTATGTAGTGTCTCTACTTTAAATAGTCCTCTCTTGCTGATGTTCAGGTGTATATCAGTATGTAGTGTCTCTACTTTAAAGAGTCCTCTGCTGCTGATGTTCAGGTGTATATCAGTATGTAGTGCCTCGACTTTAAAGAGTCCTATCCTGCTGATGTTCAGGTGTATATCAGTATGTAGTGTCTCTACTTTAAAGAGTCCTATCCTGCTGATGTTCAGGTGTATATCAGTATGTAGTGTCTCTACTTTAAAGAGTCCTCTCCTGCTGATGTTCAGGTGTATATCAGTGTGTAGTGTTTCTACTTTAAAGAGTCCTCTCCTGCTGATGTTCAGGTGTATATCAGTATGTAGTGTCTCTACTTTAAAGAGTCCTCTCCTGCTGATGTTCAGGTGTATATCAGTATGTAGTGTCTCTACTTTAAAGAGTCCTCTCGTGCTGATGTTCAGTTGTATATCAGTATGTAGTGTCTCTACTTTAAAGAGTCCTCTCCTGCTGATGTTCAGGTGTATATCAGTATGTAGTGTCTCTACTTTAAAGAGTCCTCTCCTGCTGATGTTCAGGTGTATATCAGTATGTAGTGTCTCTACTTTAAAGAGTCCTCTCGTGCTGATGTTCAGTTGTATATCAGTATGTAGTGTCTCTATTTTAAAGAGTCCTCTCCTGCTGATGTTCAGGTGTATATCAGTATGTAGTGTCTCTACTTTAAAGAGTCCTCTCCTGCTGATGTTCAGGTGTATATCAGTATGTAGTGTCTCTACTTTAAAGAGTCCTCTCTTGCTCATGTTCAGGTGTATATCAGTATGTAGTGTCTCTACTTTAAAGAGTCCTATCCTGCTGATGTTCAGGTGTATATCAGTATGTAGTGTCTCTACTTTAAAGAGTCCTCTCCTGCTGATGTTCAGGTGTATATCAGTATGTAGTGTCTCTACTTTAAATAGTCCTCTCTTGCTGATGTTCAGGTGTATATCAGTATGTAGTGTCTCTACTTTAAAGAGTCCTCTGCTGCTGATGTTCAGGTGTATATCAGTATGTAGTGTCTCTACTTTAAAGAGTCCTCTCCTGCTGATGTTCAGGTGTATATCAGTATGTAGTGTCTCTACTTTAAAGAGTCCTCTGCTGCTGATGTTCAGGTGTATATCAGTATGTAGTGTCTCTACTTTAAAGAGTCCTATCCTGCTGATGTTCAGGTGTATATCAGTGTGTAGTGTTTCTACTTTAAAGAGTCCTCTCCTGCTGATGTTCAGGTGTATATCAGTATGTAGTGTCTCTACTTTAAAGAGTCCTCTCCTGCTGATGTTCAGGTGTATATCAGTATGTAGTGTCTCTACTTTAAAGAGTCCTCTCCTGCTGATGTTCAGGTGTATATCAGTATGTAGTGTCTCTACTTTAAAGAGTCCTCTCCTTACCTTAAAAATGGTTATTCCATTTATGGGTAGAGGGCGATCGTGTCCTTTCTATTCAGATGAATTAATGAAATTGTAAAAAAGGGAAGAAAAAAATCCCCTCTTTTGCAACTTTTCATTCATAAATTCATCCTGAACTGCCTGGTGTAGTTTGACAGGTATCTAATCTTTTAACACCTAAACATGTTGTAGAGCGTGTCTGCACATGGTGTTTGGAAGTCGTCCAACTAGTTTGTATTCAGCCAGGTGATTAGTGGACACACACACACACACACACACACACACACACACACACACACACACACACACACACACACACACACACACACACACACACACACACACACACACACACACACACACACACACACACACACACACACACACACACACATACACACACACACACACACACACACACACACTGACTGGGCTCAGATTTCAGTGTTGTTCCTAACAGTTTTATCTCTCATGAATCTTTAAAAGTGATTGTGTACCTCCTGCCGCCTGTTTGCTCTCACTGAAAACACTGTGACACATTTAAAACCACATTTTTACCACCCTTTGAAAATACTCCACTACATCACTTTGTGACGATGCATTATCTAGCTTATCCAAATGGCTTTTTAAAGACTTTATTTACCTTTAGGAAGGAGGAGAATGTTCTCAACACACCAAGAAACACTTCATTATTCAGATGATCAGAAAACATGGGATTTATTTGATTTCACTATTATAGTGAAAACCGTAATGTGAAAAGTAGTTCAAGCTGATGGACTTTAGTAAAGTACAAGTACCTCGACTTTGTGCAGTATTAAGTATGTCCTTTCTCATCAGTACTCATTCTGTGTTAAACAAAATAAATACAAAAAAGAATAAACAATTCTTTACAGAAAGTATTAAACTTGTCTAGTTTTGTTATTGTAAACAACTGCTTATCTGTTATAATTCTGTGTATAATAAGTAGTTCAAGTTGAACTACAAGTAGTAAAGCTGGCATGAAATACCACAGCTGTTCTTTATTGCCTACAGATGTTAACATGCCTTTCATTGTTGAAAGACGTGTAAAACCTCTCAGGTATTCAGCTCAGCCTGAGGAGGAAAAATAACAAAAAATGAAGTTGTTTCTCACCTTTTGGACGAGGAGAGTCTGCAGTGAAAATCAGACGAGTTTATCCCCAAAGAGATTCAATAAAGTGGAGAAAACAGGAAGAAGAGCTGGTTTTCTTATCAGTGAATCACTAGGATCTGCTGTTGGTGGCTTTAGGTTGTATGGTGTGCGACCACAGGCGATGTGATTGGTCGACAGCCGGCCAATAGCAGGACAGGAAACAGAACAACAAAACAAAAGATGTCCCGCCCTCTTTTTTGTTTCCTGTGTGTTTGTGAGAGAGGATATCATCTGGTCTTTATTCTGAAACGAAACTATAAACAGGACCATTAAAGTGTGTGTGTGTGTGTGTGTGTGTGTGTGTGTGTGTGTGTGTGTGAATTTGACTTTAAAAATGTGCAGGAATTTTAGGGCTTACACAATTGCAATTTATTGCTTTGCATTGTTCCTCCTCATGTTGTAGTTTTGTTCTGTGTTCTCATGTTTTATAATTTATTATTATCAGTATATATTATTTATTATTGTGTGTCACTCCTGATTTGTGTTCTCCCTTTAGCACCAAAAAAGTCCTCAATTATTTTGTCTTTGTCCTGGGGTAAACAAAAGAAAAAAGGTACAAGCCATCAGTTTGTGCAGCTGTTCTTTCTTAAAGTTATTAAAACTAGAATGGATTCATCTTAACTCTCAGATGCAAGAAGAAAAGGAGAGGAAGGAAGGAAGGAAGGAAACACCAATGTTTGTGTAATCAAAACTGAAAACAGCATTGCAGAACATCCTGGTAATTCCAGTAAGAGCACTGCAAAATGTCCTTTTAATTTAATTGACCTCACTGCGAAAGAATCTCGGTAAGGAAGTGTCTCAGGGACACAACGACATGCTGACTGCAGTGGGGTTTGAACCTGTGCTTCCCTGATCCGAACACCAACGCCCCATCCATTGCGCCACACGCCGCCTATGTGTATATGTTGTTTTAAATCCAATCAGGTTGCAGTCTACTTTACAGAATATTTTACATTTTCCATATTTCTTGTTGTGTTTCCCTGATGATGAAAAACAAACACAAAGCAGAGTTTAGTCTCATTTGTGCGTCTTCAAACACAGACGACCAGCACAAGACTGAACTCGCCGTGTTTTCTTATCGCTCTCCTCTGGAAAGATGTGTTTACTCAAGGATTTCCGAGCAGTGTGACGGTTGGGATTCATCACATGAGTTATTCACTGACTTCAAAACACAGACGCCCTGACAAAGCTCCAAACAGGAATGTATGTTCTCCACGCCTACAAATCCCTTAATGCAGGGGTGTCAAACTCAAGGCCTGTGACCTCATGTTACGTGGCCCCGCAAGAGCTTGCAAAGAATATTATATACAATACAATTGGTGTAATCGTTGAATATTTGCTATCAATTATTTGCCCCAGACTTCTGCGTTCAGACGTAGTTATTTATGAAGTTATTACCAGAACTGATAATAATCCAATTCAGAGCCAATAATGTGATATAATACATTATTTAAAGTGGACCTATCATGCTATATTTGAATAATATAGTGTAGGACCATACCTATATAAGGCATATTTATACTTTTTCTTTTTCAAAATACCAAACAGATCATGCATTTTAGCCATGCCTCATTTCGCTCAATTTGCACTTTATTAGCTCTGTTTTAGCAAGGGCAGATTCTGTGAGAACAGCACCACTTACAGGCCTGGCATATGTACTACAGCGTCTCCAGGGCTTTCGAACGGCAATGGCCGTGGCTGTCTCCTCCTGATTGGTGGAGTTGGCCCAATAGCCGTAGCGCCACCGTCCTGACGTCAGGACAGTGTTCAAATCTGGATCAGTTTTTATCAGATCCGTTGCAGCCCCTTTTTTAGAGATTTGGGTATGGAGGAAAATAGAGAGGGTTGTGTTTTCTGACACTTGGTGAGTTCCCTGGAACACCGGGGACACATATTCATGTAGAAAAGACGTACACAAGTGCATTTTGCATGATAGGTCCCCTTTAATATATATTATATATTTATAGAGAGAAGCCAGGAGTCATCAAGGCAAAGGGGGCTCATTTGAAGAATCTCAAATATAAATCATATTCTTGATTTTTTAACACTTTTTTCTTTACTAGATAATTCCATATGTGTTCTTTTATAGTTTTGATATCTTTAGTATTAATCTACAATGTAGAACATTATTAAAATAAATAAAAACCTTCGAATGAGAAGGTGTGTCCAAACTTTTTACTGGTGCTGTATATTTATAAAGTTACAACCGGCCCTTTGAGTGTAACCATAATGCTGACGTGGCCCGTCATGACATTGAGTTTGACCCCCCTGCCTTAATGGGAAGGCACCACCCGTCTTAACGAGCTCATTATACCCAACTGTCCCATTAGGTCATTGCTTTCCCAGAATGCAGCAGGGTTCCCAGAGTCTCTAAAAGTAAAATGGGAGTCAGAGCATTTTGTGGAATAAGCTTCCAGTGTATGTCCGGGCGGCAGACACCATATCCGTTTAGGTTTAAGTCCTTCCTTCTAATAATAATAATAATATTAATAATACATGGGATTTTTATAGCACTTTTCCTAATGTTCAAAGACGCTTTACATCAAATCTAAAACACGTTTGATAAAGGTTATAGTTAGGCGTGGGTCAGGCTTTGGTAAATATACGAAATATAAATTCTCCCTTTTGACTTCATCTCTGCATCTTTACAGGTTGTATGATGTATGTCAGCCTGCAACACACAACAACACAGACTATGCTATAACACCCCTCGTTGTGAAATACAAATGATGTGCAATATATATATATATGCTGTTAATAACTGTGCAATATTATATACCTGGCTGCTAAATCCTCAGAACTGTTACAGGATATTTTGTAAATTGTGTAATTCTTTTAAAAATGTTAATCTTTAATATTTATTTTATGCATGCTTCTTAGGTAACATTAAGCTGTAATGGCCATTTTAATGTTCCAATGTCCTATATCCTTTTGCCATTACTTCACAGGAGGGTTGAAATGATCCAGACACAAACATTACATGACATTGCATTTAGCTGACGCTTTTATCCAAAGCGACTTACAATAAGAGCATTCGACCAAGAAGATACAAACTAGAAGAAAACAGAATCATATAAGAACATCAGGTTTCATAGAGCCAAAACATTTCAAGTGCTACTCAACTGGCTTTAGATAAGCCAGTCCTTTGTTAGTATATAAGTGCTTTGTTAGTCATTTTATTGCTCGAAGTTGAAGTAAAAAGATATGATTCTACACTGTATTTTAGTGAACATGTATTGTTTGAACTGTTTTATGTAATCACAACGGTTTTGGGTAATTATATATAGAATAGGAATGTTATTCTTACTTTCAAACTCACTGATCCAGAGATTCTGTGTTCCAACACACCAACCTTGCCTGTTTTACCCCTAAAAGCAGATGTCGTCATTAAGGTCGTTAAAGACAACATTACATCGCTTCTTATCATCCCTAAAAGCCAGATGCTGTTTTTAAGTCGTTAAAGACATCGTTAAATAGGTGAAGAACGCATGGGAAGGGAATGTGGTGTAGATAAGGTGGAGATAAACGTTGACTTTTGACCTGGTGAAATTTAGGATCT